TCATAATAAGAAACAAATCCAGTTTTGCATTAGCGTTAGCGTTAGCGTTGACTCATATCTCTTTTGAAAATTCTCAGTCAGACTGCTTTCAAGAATACTGCTGGGGAGTAAACATTGATTCCTATTTGAACAAGGATACCACAAGCATGACTGTTGATATTACCATCTTTACCGTTACTAAATATAGGAAACGAAATGTTGATGTAGTACTTACTTAACGAGAGACCATCGACTCTCTCATAAGTGCTACGGATATGGGGAATTGGGTATTAGGTTAAGCTGAATATACGATGTAGGTAGATGAATTCAAAGCAGATGTTGTTCATATGTTTTTTTTTTTTTATTTTTTCGATCGACTATTGAAAGAATATATTCATTTTATTTAGTGCTAGTGAATTTTTAGGTTCATGCTTTCCTAGAGGTATGGAATAGTTCCAACATTTTTTTTTTCTTCATTTAAACTTACGGTGCTTTATACTATCAAAACTCTGCGAGGGCGATTTATTCTGTTGTGGAAGAGATGATTGTTTGCTCAGTAACCAAAAAAGAACCCTGCAGGGTCATCAAGAATATCAATACCACAACATGAATGTGATTGCATATTTGGATCCAAAAATCAAGAAAATAGTAACACTCGAAAGAACTGATCATTGTTATAAGAAGGAACATTGCATTTTCATTTCTTACCAAATTTCCAAATTCTATTCTTCAAAAGTGCATTGGCCTACATCAAAATTCTACAAGTCAAGAAGTGAAGAAGCATTTGAAATAAGTAAAATGCATGTGATGGTATATTTTATTCGTAATGCCGAAAATTACAAAACGAGTAAAACTCGAAAAAAATTGCTTATTTTTGAATGAGGAAAAATACTTCAAAAAATTGCATTTTATTTGCTTGCCAAACTTGAATCATTCAAATTTAAGAAATTTCTTCTATTCTGCAAAAAAAAACCAAAATCACAGTCCGAGATCTCTTGAAAAGTCTAAATAGTCTGAACAAATATCTAAGTGTTTAAAATCTGAGCGCTTAAGACATAACTATGTAAGGAAGCTCGTAAAAATTTATTCAATTCTGGGCTAATGACCATTTGGCCTAATGGCTGGACACTCTCAGGTCAATAGTCTACATTCAGAAATGACCAGAACCTTTGATATCTTGACAAAATAAACTTCAAGAACTGGCAGCCCTATTCTGTGGTTTGTGCTTTTTGGCTCAACATTATAAATAAGCTACTCAGAACTTCCATAAATGGATAGTTTAACTATTTTTTGAAATCATATGAGTGAATATGGTCTGATAGTCTAGTAAATGGTGTATTTAGGTAGGGGAATTCACGTATTCTCGGAAACCTAAGCAGCGACCATATTTCTGAAGTCTTTTTCTCTAAGGAATGCACACATCTGCAGCATTGGTTTGTTTACAATCTTTTGCTGCCAGCTGCTCTTACAATTTCAGTCGAAATTATTGTCAAAAACTGTTTTGAAACGCTTTTACAAAGCTCCAATCTTTTCTAGTGAGAGCGACTATTGTGGGCAACATCTTTTTATTCGGCAACCTTTCTAAATAGCTGCGTGTTAAACAGCGGCAACTCAATATCAGCAGTATTTTTTTATTTTCCCCCCCAGTTATCGCATGAAGAACTTTATTTATTCTCTGACGCTACCTTGTGAGGAAATTCCCAACTAAACTATTTGCTAACGAACAGGTTTCGTCTATTTCAACAGCTTTACTGAAGAAAGGAGTCTTCTATCTGGTCTAGATCCTGAGTTATCACGAGAAGAACTTTATTTATACCCTGGTGCCACCTAGTGAGTCAATGCACAACTAAACTGTGAACTACTGGACGGGACTCGTCCATTTGAACTACTTTGATGATGTCAAAATTCTTCAGTCTTGGTCCGGCGATATCACAGGACGAACTTTATTTGTACTCTGGCACCACCTTGCGAGTCAATTTTAGTCTAATCTGTTCACTACTGAACAGGTCTCGTACTTTTCTTCAGCAATGTTGACAGAAAACTTGTATCTGGTATCGATCCTGAGTTAATAACCCTCCGTTAATCGCGCCAACTTTAGTAACACGAGTACTCGCGCGTTGTACTTTGTACAACAGTGTGAGTTTTCCATTGCCATTTTGCAGCCGAGCTACCAATCGATATGAAACCAACGGGTATTCATTAAAAAACATGTTTTTAACTAAACAAGCTTAACTTTCATCACAGTTAACTCCTGAAAATGCGGATAATAGAGAAAATGTGAATGGAAACCGCATAAACGGTGTCCGTACTACGTGGGATTTGACTTAATTGGTTACAACATGGAAAATCTCGAGATCCTGACCAGATAGAAAGTTACTGTCTTCGGCAAAGTTGTTCTAGAGGTCATAATCTTTTCTGGTGGAGAGTACTTCAGAATTTTCTCACTACGTAGCGCAAAAATAAATGTGAAATTATCACATGTGATATATCTCGAGATCCTGACCAGACAGAAAAATACAGTCTTTGACAAAGTTGTTCAGGAGGTCAAAACCTTTTTGGCTGGTAAACAGTTGTTAAGAATTTTCTCACCACGTGTCGTTAGTATAGATGTACACTTCTCGCATATGCTATATCTCGAGATCCTAATCAGATCGAAAGTTACTGTCTGCAACAAAGTTGTTCAGTAGGTCAAGGTTTTTGGGTTGGTGAACAATAGTTTAGAATTTTCTCATTATCTCTAGGCTTTATCCTCCTGAACAACTTTGTTCAAGATAGTAACTTTCTATCTGGTCAGGATCTCGAGATATATCACAGGCGAGAATTTCACATTTCACTTGCACTACGTAGTGAGAAAATTTTGAACAACTGTCCACGAGCAAAAATTTTGTGATATCCTGAACAACTTTGCCGGCGACAGTAATTTTCTATCTGGTCAACGTGAGATATTTTATATGCGAGAATGTCACATGCATACTAGCACCATGAAGTGAGAAAATTCTGAACTACTGTCCACCAGCCAAAAGACCTTGACCTCCTGAACAACTTTGTCGTAGACAGTAACTTTCTATCTGATCAGGATCTCGAGATATAGCATATGCGAGAAGCGTACATGTATACTAACGCCACGTGGTGAGAAAATTATTAACCACTGTTTACCAGCCAAAAAGTGTTGACCTCCTAAACAACTTTGCCGAAGACATCAACTTTCTAGCTGATCAAGATCTCGAGCTATTGAATATGCGAGAAAGGTACGTATATACTAGCACCGCATAGTGAGAAAATTCTGAACTATTGTCCCCCAACAAAAAGATCTTGACTTCTTGAAAAACTTTACCGAATACATTTACTTTCTATCTGGTCAGGATCTAGAGATATTTTATATGCAAGAGTTTCACATCTATAGTAGTGCCGCAAAGTGAGAAAACTCTGAACTAATGTCCACCTGCGAAAAAGCCTTGACCTCCTGAACAACTATGCCGAAGACAGTATCTTTCTATCTGGTTGGGAACTCGAGATATTTTATATGAGAATTTCACGAGTATACTAGCGTCGCGTAGTGAGCAAATTCTGAACTACTGTCCGCCAGCGACAAGGCTGTGATCTCCTGAACAACTTTGTCAGAGACAGTAACTTTCTATCTGGTCAGGATCTCAATATATTCCATGTTGTAATCAATTAAGTCAAATCCCACGTAGTATGGTCACAGTTTTCGCGGTTTTCATTTACATTTTCTGTAGTCAAAGTTTAGGTTTTTTTAGATCAAAACAAGTTTTTTGAGGAATACTCGTCGGTTTCAGATTGATTGGTAACTCAGCAACAAAATGGCAATAGAAAACTTATGTGTGTTGTACAAAGGTTACAACAGCGCGAGTAACGGAGGGTTAATGGAAGAATTTCATTTGCACTTTGGCACCCAGTGATTAAATTTCGATCAAAATTGTTGCTGTTGAACGGGTCTCATCCATTTGGAAAAAAAATTCTGAAGACTCCAATTAAACTCCCTTTGGTATGTACTCCAAAAGTTGATGTTCTCATCATCAAAACCCTATTGGGAATAATGTCAGGAGTTCTCTAGAGCCCTTGTGAATTTTTTCTTGGTCTTGTGGTTAGAAATCCCTAGGAAAAATTATTTAAATTGTCTTAAGATTTCTTGTTAAATCCTGTACAGAATTTCTTTTGAAATCATCCTGGGCTCCTTTAAATCCACATGGAAGTCATCTCCTAACTAACATGTACTTTAACTCTTGGAATTTCAAAGAAACCGTCTCGTGCCCATTGAATACTTTTCAAAATATCTATCAAATTCTCAACGGAAACCTTTGAGAATATTTTCGCAAATTCCCTAGGAGTTCTCTGGAATAACGCCAATTGATTAAATTCCAATAAAATTCCTGTCGCGGAGAAGATTTCGCCCCTCTACCCTAGGTGGGGACCATTTTCGCCATCCCCTCACTACGTCCCTGTCAACGCCCCGCGCATAATCACTCATGACTCCACCAAGCAAGCTCCATGTCATTCTAAGTAAACATCGGTCAGTTCACCCAAGTGCCATTTCTACTTTTATCGTCAATCCCTCCTCCTCTCTCTCTCTCTCTCTCTCTCTCTCTCTCTCTCTCTCTCTCTCTCTCTCTCTCTCTCTCTCTCTCTGCCACTCGCAGGTCAGATTGTAAAAGTTCTAAAATAAGCACCAATTGACTCACAACGATCCTCGTTACGATTAACTCCAAAACATTCAAACAACCTCGATCACAATTTTCCACTTCCTGCGGTGATTTATCCGAAATTGGATAAACTACCATTTCGTAGACCTACCTACCTACTTACCTCTGAAACGACGACTTGGAGCGATCGGTCCGCACTTCGCTAGAATTAACGACGCTTGGCGAGAGCGACTTATTTACCAAGGTGACTCTTGCCAGTCACAATCTCTCGGTGCACAACCACCGCATTCAGAATAGAACTGCTGCTCTTCAACGCTAACAAGACGTAATTTTGCATTATTTTAATGCAATGTTATCTTTTAGTAAGCCGGTCAGTTGAGCACTGGATCTTGGCGACTGTGGATCGCACGTGGGCACGAATAAAAGGGATCATTCTGCCTCTCGGCGGGTGGATTATTTTTTTTTCTGTGGGGAAAGTACAATCATCGAAGGTATTGATTTATTTTGGGAGGAGAGTTGATCAGTCTTTTTGCAGTGGTCGTCCCTTGGGATGACAATCAAGTGCGACGAAACGTTGATCTGACCATTCTGAGCAGAGGGTTGTGTGATTTTGTGTGTTGAGAAATAGTTGTTGTTGAAGCCAGAAAAAGAAACATGGAAGGCATCAGTGTCGACGAAGTGAAGGTGTCTTTGCAAAAGTTCGGCCTGTATGACTATGTGGTGTTTGTGCTGATGTTGATGATCTGTGCCATGATAGGGGTGTACTTTGGGTTCCTAAAGAAGAAGTCCAAGAAAGGTGATGTGGAGGCGGACTACCTGGTCGGAGGGCGCCAGATGAGCGTCATACCGGTGTCTCTTTCGTTGATTGCTAGGTAAGAATACAAATTACAAATTATCATCCGAAGATCAATAACCATTCAAGGGTACAATGAAATCGCCTGTTTCCGCTATTAGTTCCAGTGATTTTTTGTGTTTGTGTGAAAATTGGATTCTTGGCTATTAGCCGCAAACCGTCAGTAGTAAATTAGTCATGATGCAATCAGGTGCGCGACAAATGCAAGCATTTGCTCACGTGCCGGAACGTAGATGTTGATGTTTTGCCTACTGGACGTGACCGCTTAAATGCATTAAATGTAAATATTTATCGTACATTGCGGTGGCCATGGTGGGTGTTTTGGGGGAAAACCAACTAGCAGATAGGTATGCAATGAGAGTGATGTTAGTTGACTTCAGACAAAGATTCTTGGAATCACACTACAACTGGACTTTTTTAATATCATGGATCAATAAAACTGATGTCTGAACTAACAAGTGGTCGACAAGGTGTTTGAACGAAATTTTGAGACCGCAAAGGTTCACTTCGAATACTATGGCGGTCGAATATTCGGTGCATCAATGGTTTTGACAGAACAAACCACAGCATGTCTTCAAATTTTACCGACTGGGTTCAATTCCCGATCCGGGCAAGGAATTTTTCGAGATGAATCATCTAAGCTTGTACTTGCCACACAATAATACTAATGCAACAATATGATACAGGCTTAGTAAGCTCTCAATTAATAACTGTGGAAGTGTACTCAAAGAGCACTAAGGTGAGGGCTGGTATAAACGTCCCTGTAGGGGTGTGAAAGAGCAAAAGAAGAGAAGAACAAGAATGAAAAAAAAAACGTCAACAAAATCTTAAAAATAAATTAAATCCAGGGGACACCTGGTTCCTAATATAAATTGGTGCAATTATCAGATATTATGAAGACTTCCTCTTCAATGATTGTCTATGAACTGTAAAAGAAAATGTATAATACTCGGGATGGTATATGTTGGAACAGGAATGGTATATGTTGGTTCCTGTCAAGAAGTGGATCATCTACAATTGGGATTGCTACGCTGAAAAGTGACACAGCGGCTTGTTGCAGACTTGGTGAGGTCGTTTTTTTTTTAATCGTTTTTTGTCAATTTGTACTTTGTTTCCGTGAATCCATGTTTGAGGTTGATCATGTGCCCACGGTTTGAGAAGGAGTAGGCTGTGCGTGTAATCGAACGCGGCGTTCGTTTTTTTTCGTGGAGTTTTTTTAATCTATAATCGGTTGCTGATCTGTTCAAAAGCCCAGGCCCAGGAGACGATTTCTAGATTGTCAGCGAGTTCATTAAGACATAAGAAGACCTGCGAGAGCTGCATCTCATTGTATCTAGTTCTACCTCCCTGTTATTTCCCGCTGAGAAGCTGTTCCGAAGACAAGTAGAACCTCCATGAGGCGTCCCATCATTCGTCCCATCATTCGTCCCATCATTCGTCCCATCATTCGTCCCATCATTCGTCCCATCATTCGTCCCATCATTCGTCCCATCATTCGTCCCATCATTCGTCCCATCATTCGTTCCATCATTCGTCCCATCATTCGTCCCATCATTCGTCCCATCATTCGTCCCATCATTCGTCCCATCATTCGTCCCATCATTCGTCCCATCATTCGTCCCATCATTCGTCCCATCATTCGTCCCATCATTCGTCCCATCATTCGTCCCATCATTCGTCCCATCATTTGTCTCAGCGTTGAGTCGCAGCGCTGAACCTGACAATTGGCCACGATAAGGCTTGCCAATGTACATATTTTAGACAAATTAATGTAAATTTAGGTGCTCTGAGAGCGACATATACGAGCCTCAATTTTAACATAATTTTGAGTCATAACAGACGCGAAATGTAGCTCAAACAAACGTACTTTTCATCAAGCAACGAAGTTTTCAGTCTTGGGGTACGTAATATTACATGACATGCTTGTTTACGTCTCATTTTTATGTCAAAGATGGATTCTGTCACGTGTAAAATTAGTTATTTCTAAGTGTGCAACAAAAATCGACTACATTCATCTGAACATTTTTTATCTCAAATCGAGGGAAGACATTCTGCTCAAATACATAAACCGGACTAGTTAAAGTTGATCTTCGTCAAGCTTCGTCTAGCTTCTACATTAACATATGTCAAGCTACCTTTTGATTCAATTGGCTAAACTTGGTGAGTTCGTTCCATTTTGTAAATTTTTTATCTATTTTTTTATGTATTAATCTTTTATCCCCCAACGTTACTGGGATCACCTTTTTGTGGTAGGTTACTGGTATAAGATCTACCACCGAACCCTAGTTATGACAACTTCAATCTACAAAATCATGATTTTCCAGATATCAAATGATCACATTTTAGTCCTTGTTACTTTTTATGACTTGATAATAGTGACAAGACTCGCGTAGTGGCCACCGCCGTTATGCATTTCTATATTGTATATTTCAAATCAATATATCCAATAATCCTTTTCCCTTTGTCCTTGTCCTACTCCTTTCCCTCTTCTCTTTTCAGAAAGCGAGTAATGGCGCCATAGCCATAAGCCATAAAAAGCTAGGACAAGAGTTAGTGCTCATGTCCCAACCATCAGAAGAAAATGGAGCATCACTTAACCTTTCTTCCTTTGATGCTTCCAACGATCAACCAATCATATAATTACCAAAATCGGAACGTACGGTACGAGATGGACACGTTTCTTCCATTCATTGGATTCTGAAGCATCGTGTTTAAATCTTCGATTTAAACAGGCCAGATATTTTCTGAATCATCTTGCCCCTTAAATGCTGCACAGTAGGCCTGGCCGTTTTGATATGTGTGACGCATCTTCGATGTGAAACATATATCAAATTGACAAGAAAAATTAAGGAGGTATATCCAGCATATTCCAGGATGCTTTCAAGAACTGGCTGTGTTGGTTTTAGATAAGAAGATAAGATAAGATGTATAATACTCTGGACAATGTTTCTAGACAAGAAAACTTGGACTCATTATTTACTTTTCTCAGTTCAATGTAACAGCTACGCATTAGTAAATATTATAATTATTTTAAGACTACGAGCCCTGTTCCCATTTGTTTGGCTGCCAAATTCCATTTCCGCTTGAAATCTTTCAGGCCAATTGCAGTTCTACCGTTCCACCCTTTTCTTCAGTATGTGCTTCACAATTGATCAGTATTCCTCAATTGGCTTTAGTTCCGGAGTATTTGCAAGATAAATCTCTTTGCGAACACACCGTTACGCCATTTTCGTTGTACCACTATTTGGTGGAATTTGAGTAGTGGCAGCTTGCCAAGTCCAGGCGGAATAGGAAATCCATGTCATGCTGCTCCAGAAAAGACAGTAGTCTCTTCCGTAGGCACTCCTCCTGGAAAATGTGCTGGTTCATGGTCCCAGAAGTAACGAAAGTTTCGCTTTTCAGCCCACGACTGCAGATTGCTTGCCAGACAAGGAAATTTTTGGGGAGTTTCGACTCCTTTTTGATTTTACATTCTTCCGGGGCACTCTTCCGGTTTACCGAGGTATAAAATCCCTACCCAGGAATTTGAGCGAAAACTGCCAGGAGCGGATAGTTTGGGATTTTCGTGTCGAGCGATCAGGATCGAATCGAATGATGTAAACAAATGAACTTATCCTGACAACCAATGCCTACTGTGATTGTATACGCCTAGTGAAATTTTCCAGAGTATTTACCGGATTCATCTCCTTAGGAACCACTGTGACGCCATTTTCGTAGTACCACTGTTAGGTGAAATTTGAGAAGTGGCAGTTTTCCAAGTCCGGTCAGAATCGGCAATCCACCTCTTCCGTAGGCACTGCTCCTGATAAATTGACTAGTTCATGGTCCCAGAAGTAACGAAAGTTTCGCTTTTCAGCCCACGACTGCAGATTGCTTGCCAGACAAGGAAATTTTTGGGGAGTTTCGACTCCTTTTTGATTTTACATTCTTCCGGGACACTCTTCCGGTCAACCGAGGTATAAAATCCCTGTCCAGGAATTTGAGCGAAAACTGCCAGGAGCGGATAGTCTGGGATTTTCGTTTCGAGCATGCAGGATCGAATCGAATGATGTAAACAAATGAACTTATCCTGACTACCAATGCCTACTGTGATTTACGCCCAGTGAAATTTTCCAGAGTATTTACCGGATTCATCTCCTTAGTGACGCCATTTTCGCAGTACCACTGTTGGGTGGAATTTCAGTAGTGGCAGTTTTTCAAGTCCGGTCAGAATCGGCAATCCACCTCTTCCGTAGGCACTGCTCCTGGTAAATTGACTAGTTCATGGTCCCAGAAGTCACGGAAGTTTCGCTTTTCAGCCCACAACTGCAGATTGCTTACCAGGCTAGGAATTTTTAAGGGAATTTCGACTTCTTTTTGGTTTTATTGATTCTTCCGGGGCACTCTTTCGGTCAATCAAAGTATAAAATTCCTGCCCAGGAATTTAATCGAAAACTGCCAGGCAGTACGTTTCATCGATTTCGATTGAATCGCGACGTGCTTGCTCCGGTGAAGCCACGATGTAAACAAATGAACTTTCTTGAAAACCAAAGCATTTTGAGATTCTTTACATTCTTAGCTTGATGCAGCGAAATTTTGAAATGTCTTAATGGAAGTGTTTTTGATGTTTCTGGATTTTTTCGATTTCAATCTTTATGTGCATCAAATTTCCTGAATATTTTACTGTTGGTTCACGATTAATTCAATCGTTTTGTGCTTGATTGAGTGAGTCTATCTGAAATTTGAGCAAGTGTAGTAAAACACTTCTAATATTCACACCCTTTTCCAAACTGCAATATTTTAACGAATAAATTCTAGGCTCATTTGCTGCAGCTTTGCGGAGCCGATATTTATTGTTTAGATCACAATATTACTTGAAACTAACGTTAGTAAAGCCGGGGTCGATTACTCGCGGCTGTCTCGAGGTTAGGAGTAAGAAATTGTAACAAATGGATGGCAGGATAGGGATTGAGAACGCAAGGTTTTAAGAGCAATGTGCTCTTGATCTCGAACTAAGAGAGATACTGATGAAAAAGACAA